CCTTTGGTATTCTATGAGAATAAGGATAATTTGTCTAACCTCTGGGATATTCTAGCTCTTTATGCTTGGATAGACAACGATGTCGGATATTGCCAAGGTGAAGCCTTTAAATTTGGAGTATGAACACAGTATAATCCTTTGTTCAAGCCTTTCAATATTAGCTGATTCTTTAGTGTTGATCTATCTTCTGTGTTTTCTGAACATGAATGAGTGATCTTTCTTCCCCTATGATTATGCTTCTTCAAGATGAAGGTGATGCATTTTGGTGTTTCGAACGATTGATGCACCAAAATGCTCTTTAGTGCAAGAGTAATCAGTAGCATAACAAAGAAGTGTTTTGCTTTCGGGTTCTTCATTTTTCTTTTTCTTTTTATGGTTGAGCCACGACTGGATTACTTGACAGTTGGACAAAATTGAATCACGACTCTTTACGTAAGGATCCTTATGATCGAAGTGCTACGCATGCAATCCTAAAGCGCCTGAGAGATAGTGACAAACAGGATTACCATAACAATCGCGTCTCCATCGATCTTTTGAACTTCCCGAAACCTCTTCAGAGTTGTTCCAACACTCCTTGCTTACAATGTCTGAAAATTCATCTCGAGCCGTCCTAATAATTGAGTTCTTCGTTGTGCCACATGTAGTTTTCTTCCTAACTCTTCCAGTCTAAGATAGAAGTTTTTTTGTTAAATACGAGCAATAGAAGACCATCCAATGCAAACCAGAGTTGCCTCATGATAGCCTGAATAATTTTGTTTTCTCTTTCCAAACCTTTAGGCAAGTCTTGGACTTTCCCAAGGATGATAGTTTCTACCTACATTTTTACAAAAATTTCAATAGAAATGGAAAACCATATAGCAGACGATCTCACGAAAATAAGGTAGAACAAGAAAACTACCGACATTATAAGGGAATTCTTTACTCTGCAGCAAAACCAGCAAGTGTTGATTCTCCCCATAACAGCCAATACTCAGGTCCTTTTCTTTGAAGACTTCTGCAAGGTTTTTGCCGAACGATGAAAACATAAATCTAAAAACACAAGTGCTTGAAGGAAAGTGTCAAAGAGAAGTTGCCTTGAGAAATCCGTATACAAAATCAGCACAGTTATTCCCACGAACCCTCTCGTTCATCCAAATCAAACACGAATCATTTGATCAAGCACTTACCTCAGAAACACGTTTCTTGGATAATGAAGCTCTATACACCACACCAAACGAACCTTCCCCTAATTTTTTCCCCAAAACGAAACCATCCTGCAAAATCCAAAACCTAATCCCATCAATAAAGCGAACCCAAAAGACACAGCCAAATTACTCAAAATTATCCATAACGACCTTCCTAAAAGTGGAAGTTCTAAACAATCTCTCAACAAAAGCAAGAAGAAACATGTCGAAAAACCCAGGAGCCACGCCAGGTGTAGCCCCAGAGATACAAGAGAGCAGTGAGAGCTAACGCTACTCCAGGGGCAGTGATCGTAAGACCGTTCGATTTCGGTAAGGTACTGCGATAGATCATATCGCCGCACTCCATAACCGTACAAGGAAGCCCGACTCCAACTCCGACGAAGAGATTGTGAACCGCGTCGATCAACTGAGCGCGACAATCGGACCCGAGCTTAACCGTTGGTTTAGTAGAACTCGAAATCGGTGAGGTCAGAGAGAACGGTCTGAGTTTCATTCCAAGAAACGGCGAGGGAGTTCCGATGTAAGCTCATGACGGAAATTTCACCGGCAGAGTTTCAGTGTTGGAAGACGCAATTTCATCAAAATTTCCTTAAAACGTCGTTGATTTCGCACCACTAG